GGGTTTAGGGTTTAGGGCTTAGGGCTTAGGGTTTAGGGTTTAGGGGTAGATAGGGTGCATAAAAGCACATAACCATGTGTACGATCTCTCTGTATGGTTCATAGGTCGAGAGACATGCATGTCCATGCGGCAAGCCGAACCCTTATAGTTGCCTTAAACTCTGCCACGGATGGACCCCTAAATCCCAAAACTCTACATAAACTTGAACAGCGCAGACAAACAGAGGAGGCTTTGCGTTCTCTAAACCCCCGAGCTCCAAAAACGGCAAACCCTAAACTTGTTAGGCTTTAGGGTTTAAGACCTACGCCCTGAACCCCGACCCCTCCAGCGTCTGGGGCTTGTAGGCTAGATTTTAGATATCGGGGCTTGCCGGAGGGCTTGGCACGCACAGGTGCAAAGCCCTGTAGGCATCGTTTCGCTTAAGCCCCTCGCCCTACATAACCCCAAACCCTAAAGCATCTGGAGACTAAACTCTAAACCCTAAATCCTGAACCCTAAAGCACCTTGACCCGAAACCCAGTACCCTAAAGCGTCTAGACCCTAAACCCTAAACCCTGAAGCATCTGGACCCTTTTTAGCTGCTTCATGCCAGGACTGGACCCTAAACCCTAAACCCTAAACCCTAAGCCCTAAGCCCTAAGCCCTAAACCCTAAACCCTAAGGTTTCTCTCAACGCCGAGGGGCAGCCAGCAGTGCGGCACTCAGGGTGTTCTGAAACCACACTTGGCTGTGCAACTCCTGCTGCCACCCCCAAGAAGTACATGCTTTGGGGGTCTTGGGGTTTAGGGTTTAGGGCTCAGAAGGTGTTGGCACAATGTGATTTCTGCAGAGTGCTCTGAACGTCAAAGTCATGAAATTCAAACAAGCGTGGGCAAACGGCGGGAGAAACTATGACTCTCTTATGGCTTTGGGTTTAGGGCATCTCAGATTTCGGGGGCCAAGCCCCAAAAGTTCAATCCCCACACGCCCAAGAAGCCCAACTAGACCCAAGAGTATCCTTAGAATAGACAAGGGGGGCCCTTTCGGTTGAAAGGGGCCCAAGAGGAAACCTAAACTCCCTCTAAAAGGACATCAGGGCCTATTTGGTGGCCAAAGAAGCTGAAAGAAGCTTTCGCCCCTGCCTCATTCTCCGGGTCGACAGTGCCCAGCACGGCGAGGACGCCCTCGCCTGGGCCAGGCTCTAGGGTTTAGGGATTCGGTTTAGGGTTTAGGGTTTAGGCTTTAGGGTTCAGGGTACTTGAATGCTCATGGGTGGTCATAAGTGGGGCTAGAAGTAGGGCGATTATAGATATAAATGGTTATAACCGTACTTAGGTTACTTAAACGCTACATATATACCCATGAACCTTCAAGTATAGAGTAACTCCCCCCACCAATCGCCACCAAGCCCAGCGCAGAAGCTTTAGGATCATATCCATGTTATGGCGTCTCCATAACAACCCTAAGCCCTAAAACCTGGGGTTTCAATCCCTCGCTCTAGGGCGGATAAGCGCGGGCTCGAAGTTTCCGATTACAGGTTGCAGGCTGAAGAACTCAAGAGGCTCAAGCGGAAAGGTTTCAGCCCTGCTTTCTTTGGGGCTTAATTACCAGGATAGGCCATTATACCCTATAATCCCTTATAGGGTTCATTATGTGGATTTTAAGGCCTAATAGCCCATCCTGGTATGGCCTTAGGGCATTGCGGGTTTACCAGGAGCGTTCGAAGTTAGCAGCTAATTTTCGCGTCCTAAACCCTAAACCCTAAACCCTAAACTCTTGTTTGTGAAAACCTACCCGTCATGTGGGTACACTGTAGGTTGGAACAAGGGGTCGGGCTGGATGAGCGTTTAATGCGCCGTGAGAGATCGACACCTGGGTCTGCAAACCACATAAACATAATAAAGGGCCCTACTATTGAGGTACAAGGGCCCCTATAAGGAGGATTCTGGCAACCCTATATGTAAGTATGAAGGACAGCTTTGACTTTGAAGGGCAGGTGTAGCGCCTTCAACCCTGAACCCTGAACCCCTATAAGCCCTTCTGCATCCAGGACTCTTGGCAGACCCCTGAACCTCTTTTTGCATCCAGGCTTGAACCCCTCTCTCTCTCACAGGCGCTCAGTCAAGAACCCCTAAACCCCCAAACCCCCAAACCTCCAAACCCCTAAACCCCCATAAACCCTAAGCCCTAAACCCCAAATCCCTAAGCCAAAGTGGCGCAGGCCGCTGAACATGAGAGGAGTGCTGAAGACGTTGGCGAAGCCCATGCCCAAGCGGGCCACGTTCGCCAGCATGTCTGAGTCATCCTCGGGATCTTCTGATAAGGGGTGTAGGGTTTAGGGTTTTTTGGGTTTTTTGGGTTTAGGGATGTTTAGGGTTTAGGGTTTGGCACGTGCTCTCTGCTACCGGTAGTAGGGTTTCAAGTTTAGGGTTTAGGGTTAGTGTTTACAGGGGTTAGGGTAGAGATCCCGGGGTCTTCTTCAGGTAGGACCTCCCAAAGCCAAAGGACCCACATGGCTCCGTTTGGAGTTCTGCAGAAAGTGATGTGTGGGGGTAGTCGGACCGCAACGAAAGCCCTGAACTGTGACCCCCCTAAGCCCTGGAGACCCTCAAAGTCCCATGCCTGACCTACTTTTGAGAGAAGAAAACGCCAACTCAGAGTTGATGGTCGAAAGTCGTGGACATTCAAAGCCAGGTCTCAACTCTCTTAACTGGTCGCTTCAGGTCTATGCGTGTTTGGTCTCTTATACACATAACCAACTAAACGTACCTTGAACCAATTCACATAAACAGCCCCTAAGGCAAGTGGCGATGCGAGCATGAGATCGAAGCACTGGGCTGTACTCACCCAAACCTAAACTCTACAACCGGATCGAACCAACGAGGCAAGCTTCGTAGTTGTTCAGAATGACGCCCTCGGCGTGCTCTCCAAAGGTTGCAAATCCAAGCAACATCGATGCCGCAAACCTGGGACATAACATCGTGGTGCTGGTGCTGGCACCTTCGACCATAGGACCTTCTGCATGCAGCCTTTCATCGTGCGCACCCCAAATGTCGGTGTTGCGACGCAAAAGGTTCGCAAGCCAAAACAATTCTCTTGGTTGGATGCAGGTAGGGAGACACAGACGGAGGCCTGAGGCTAGCCCAGTTGCATGTATCACCATATATACCGAGAGTACTACAGTGAAAACTACCCAAAGACCCATTCGGTTGAGGCCCGGCCAAGTTCGCCCCAGTGGCAGTGTCGACACGAGGGTGAAGGCAGTCAGGACTCGCGATCCGAAGCGGACGGGTCGGTGGTCCTTGTACCTGCAACCCAGCCGGCATAGGACAAGGCGATCGTATGCTTGCACGCAATACCGACGAAGGGCTCCGATCTACCCAGTATGATGGGGCTGACGAAGAGGTGTGCAGGCGGAGGTTAGGCGATAGCTAGCAAAGCCCTGCACCTCGATGCCCTCAGGCAAGAACACCACTGTGTTGAGTCCAAAATCTTCACCCATGAAAGGACAAGCACCAGACACCAGACTACCACATTACAAACACAAGCTTCTCTTGTTTTGCCACAACCCTATAGACAGTTTAAACAACAAGTAGTCTTGATCATTCCAATTTTGAGACCTGCGCCCAGCATTTCAAGTGGTCTCGCGGAACCCTCTAAACCATTCAGGTCCCTACCGAAGGCATCCAGGCTTTCATGACTACTAGGTGAACACCACAGGGTTCTGTTCTAGAGGGCTCTTTTGGGGCTTTATCAACAAGACCCAGACCCGAAACAACAGAACAAGCTTCAACCCCGGCACGTTACTTTATGCCTCCAATGATCTAAGCCACCAAAACACTAACCCTAAACCCTAAACCCTAAACCCTAAACCCTAAACCCTAAACCCTAAAACCCTAAACCATTCTTTTAGCAGCTCAGGAGGGTTTGCTCCGCAATGCGCACGGCGGCCCCGAAACCCTCACCAAGGCCCGTGCTCGCGGTAATACTTGGGTCCGTTGTAGTGACCTTTCATCGGGCTTAAAAAGGAGACCCGACCTAGAATCCGAACCTAAGGCTACTTATAACATCTCATATTTACTATATTCTAAAGGATTTAAGGCTACTTATAACATCTTTATATCCCCATTCTAAAGGATTTCATAGGAGACAGTACGCCATGGCGGCGCGCATGTTCAGGGTCTGTGTTTCGAAGGCCGGCCCTCTCACTTTCTGGGGCTTCTCGCGAGGAAAATTGGGTTTTGGGGGGCTCTAAAGAAACGACTCCCAGATGCCAGGGTGCCAACATTTGGGTTTAATTGGGGTTAGAGACCTGTGCTTGAAACTGCACCTAAACCCTAAACCCCCTAAACACCCTAAACCCTAAACCCTAAACCCATGTGGGAATATGGGAGGGCTACCTTCCTTTTACTTCTTCATCAAGGGCTGTTAGACTTAGTAGCCCAGTATCCATATTAGAATAAGGGCACCCTTTAGGTTGGTTACTTTATCAGGGAACCCAGAACCCCAAAAAGGGTAAAGGGTACCACTGGGCTACCAAGTGGAAGATACAAGCAAACAACAGCACCGCTGCGCCAAAGATCAGAGTTAGGTTCAAGTTCTCGGAGCCTTCCACCCAGAACCAAACCCACCGCTCCTCTTTTTTGGGAAAGGTGCAAATCGGAACGGTTGATGTCGGGGCAGCTCGAGGAACTTGACGGGCTGCGGGAATGAGGCTGGCAACGGCCAGTTCTAAGCGCGCACCGGGTTCTGCAACTTTGTGCTAGCACCCGCCCCCAAGTTGCGGCAACAGCCGTGCTGAATTCTTCCACTGGTGCTCCCTGCGTGCTGCTTGGCGCACACAGACCCTCACATCTCGCATGCAATCTTGTGGCTCGACTCGTTGCACTGTCGCTCTCTATGACAACCGAAGATAACCGAAGCCTCGAATGACCTAACAAACCCGAAAACTCCCTAGCCCTAGCCCTGAAACTCACGAGATCACCTAATAATGCAAACCACACACAAACCCTGAGGAAACCCTACGCCGTCTCCATGGCCGGGCGGACAGGCACCAGCTTCGTGACAGATGCTGCCTGGAGGTGTCTTCAGAATTTGCGAAGGGGTCGAAGGCTTGACGTACCAAAACAGTCAGCTTTAGCAGTTGCGTTGCTAAATACTCGCCATGTTGCCAATCATGGATTCATAGTAATTGCCCGCTTCATCCACTGCCCCTGCTACAGCTCGGCCCCCCTCCCGCCCCCCCCCCCCCCACCCCCCCACCCCCCAATCCGAAAAGTTCCCATTCACAACTAGGGGACATTGCTCAGAAAGCCCTGAAGCTTTGAGCATTCAGACTCCCCCGGCAGCCGCACTGCTGCCGCCCGGTTTTACACCTGGACTTAAGGTGAATGCCAGCAACCTCCCCACCCCCCACCCTCCCCCCCCAAACCCAGGTTCAGGCTTTTCTTGAACCTCTTGAAGGAAGCTTTGCTTTAAGAAGAAGCCATGTCAAACTTTTGCGGTTTCTCACGAGACGAGGCCCCAAATAGATGTTGTGATAGGTAGCCCACGACTCACTCGAAAAGAGTTTGTTCGGGTACCCGCTCTGATGACGCGGCTCGGTCATGAAGAGCCCAAAAGAGCAGGAAAAGAAGACTCGGGCCTTCAAAGGGCCTTAATTGGCTTCAACCTTCGCGGGAAGGAGACAACTTTAGGGCTTTTCTGGCTGGTTCTTAGGGAATGAGGGAATGAGGGCCACATATATAATCCCTTGAAGGGTATATATAGGGATCTCATGCCCTCATCCCCTACTAAAGGGTATATATAGGGATCTCATGCCCTCATCCCCTACTAATTAGAACCAGACAGTTCAAAAGCTTCCCTGCAGTCGCACCGCCCAGTCCAACGTTAAGGCCTCGAAACCTTGGGGACCAACTCTGAGAACCCTCAAAGGGTTTAGGGTTTAGGGTTTATGGCTCACATACCTTCAGAAGGGAGTAGAGTAAGTATAGGGTTCATGACCCCAATTTTACCCTAAACCCTAAACCCTAAACCCTAAACCCTATAGGGTTGGGCCTTCAGAGCTCGTCGCATGGCGCGTGCGGACAGGATCTCTGCAGCGACCACGGAGAGGCATGCCACGATGGCACTTCCCATTCCGTAATACCTAGCAATTGGGATGTTCGCCCTTATAGGATTTCCGTACCTCTCTTATTTTCATCCCTACTAAGGACTGTTTTTTTTTACAAGGGGGAACATCCCAACCTAGCCACGGATGCGTCGAAAACCTAGAACTCTCCCTCCACAACATTCAAGATTCAAACCACCCCTCCCCGCCAGATAAACAAATGGATGCCCATCTCTGTGACCAGCCTATATACACGCACATCAAGATGCTCAATCATGTGCAGCGCGTGGTGGTCCACATGTAAGATGCCGGAGGCAATGACGCAGACGTGGCATAGGATGTCTGCGATGTCGCCCAGCACTGCGAAGAAAAAGAAAAGCAGCGACAGAGCACGCCGGGCCTTCCACTCCTGCATGAGACGATGCCAGTCATGCTCCGCAAGGTGAATGACAAAGAGCATGCCGACGAACGGGACGATGACACGCAAGGCTTTCAGAGCATGCATGGCCGCATGCTCGCCCATTCTCAATGACTCTCCAATGGTCCTGCCAAGGATATGCCTTACAGCCCCGGCCCCTGCACGCTCCAGCGCGAGTTCAGCACCTCTTTCCGCAAGCCTCTCTGCCCCTCGCTCTGCCAGCCGCTCCACCCCACGCTCTGCCAGCCGCTCCATACCACGCTCTGCAAGCCGTTCTGCCCCCCGCTCTGCAAGCCGCTCAACGCCCCTCTCTGCGAGGCGCTCCCCGACTCGCTCGCCCATGCTCTCGGTGATGCGCTCGGTCATACGTTCCACCACACGCTCCGCGGCGCTGAACGCCGTCTTCTCAATCCATCGATGCTCGAGCTGATGCTTCGCTGTGTGGAACTCGTCGTCGTGACCATGGTGGTCACCATGACCGTCTGGCTGCCGGTGTTCTGCCTTGGGACAAGACGGGTCCAGCGGGCCCTCGGAGTCCTCGGCCTCATGATGGAACGTCCACAAGGTGTTGTGCCACACGCCCGGCTGGGACTTGAGGTCTGCTGCGGCCTTGCGCACTGCAGCTGCTTCCATCTCATCCTCGGCGGTCCGCAGCGCGGCCTCGTAGGCCGCAAGCCAGGCGGCCTCGCACGCTGACAGTTGCGCGCAGGCCTTCTGCACCTCCGCAGCGGCTGAGCGCATTTGGGAGACAGCCCTTGCCAAGGCTGCCTCGCGCTGGTGCGTGAGCGCGGATGCCATGCTCCCACGTGGTAAGACTATAGGCTGGCAGTGCTATACTGCGAGGTTGCTCCCCTCTCATACTTCCGTTTACTTCGCTGCATGTTTTGCTACAACCTACCAGGATGGGCTATTGGGCCCTACAATCCCCATAATCAACCCTTTAATGGGCCTTTCTAAGGGGCTATAGGGTATGATAGCCCGTCCTGGTATGCGCCAGGGCCTGCGGATGGTCTTATGCGTTCGGACGTGCCAGCGAGCCTACTTGTACTGGTTCGCTGTAACTAAGCTGTGTGCCTGGAGAAACGCAATCATCGACTTCACATGCAATCCAGACATCCGCGCTGCAATGCATGGTAATGCAAAACATGTGTCGTCGCTGCGCTTCTGTCCTGGAGCCGTCACACTGCTGCAGTACTCGGCAGAACCAATGTATGCGCGCGCAATCTGTCCAATGCGCGACCGTACCCAACCCAACCTTCAACACACCGGCGTTCTTGTTCTGTCAGGATGGGCTATTCCTTGCGTCTGGGCCCCTGGCACAGGAAAGCAACAGCCAAGTTGTCCACCAAGATCAACGAGGAGAAGCCCACATTTCCCACCTCCAGCTTTCCGGAACACACGCTTTGCTTCATCCCGGGTGTGCAGAGGGCTTCTGAAGAACTTCCTGTTCTGGCTTTGGTGTCCGACATCCTGTTTGAAAAAATTAAATTCTGAAGCTTCTTGAGCACTGCAATTTAGGGCTCAGGCTTTACAAGCTTCGTGGCACGCTTGAGAGTTCGGGGGGTCATAGGGGCTTTCCGAGACATGTTGTTCTGCGCATCGCGGTTTTACAGTGAGCTCCACCCCGGATTTAGGTTGTCAGGTTCAGGGGTTCCATCAACCCCAAGCCCAAAACGGCTTAGAGTTTGGGGTCTAGGGATCCCGTAAACCCTCATCAGAAGGTCTCTAGGGCTTCAGTTGAGGGGTGATCCTCCTGAGTCAGAGCCATGAAAGTGGGCCCAGGGATGTCTCGGGCAAAAAGGTGCTCGAGGGTAGCGTTCTCTTGGGGTTTAGGGTTTATATAGTTTCCAAACCGGGGACGGCGGTTCCCATGTAGGTGCCAAGTTGATGCCCAGGGCTTGAACTGCCCTTTTATCTACTCAAGATTACTCAAGAGTCGACCATCTTTATGAGAATGGGGGGGGGAGGGAGACCGTCTTTGGGATCGGCACAGTTGAAGCGTCTCAGACGCTTCCTTCACTTTGGGCCACTAGGGCGGCTAATCAGAAGTCCTTGGAGACTCATGGGTAAGTACTTATAACCCCCAATTTTCAAGTCTACTTCCAGCCGGCTTTCAGGACTTGGGGGGGCTCATGAGTGCAGTTATATACTTGGGGTTAGACGTACCCATGAACCCCCCAAGTGGGCATGCGCTTAACATCATGTCGACATACCCATGCAGCCCCCACCCCCCCAACCCGAGTTTGAAGGCCAGCAGGGCTTCGGACTCTCAACCCTCTTACGCCTAGACCTAGACCCCCTGTTTGAACCCAGACTCTGTGCGTCAGCTGGCTCGAGACTACCCAGGGTACACGTGCAGATACAGTTCGCTGGACCCTAAACCCTAAACCCTAAAACCCTAAAACCCTAAAACTCTAAAACCCTAAAACCCTAAAACCCTAAAACCCTAAAACCCATCTGGTCTCTGATGAACATGTCGCCGAGTGCCCGGCATGCCCGCGCGGCTTCGGGAATCCATGGAATTGCCCGCCTGCAAGATGCAGACTGCTATGCGCTTATAAGGGCCGACTGGCCACTGCAATTTCAACGCTTCTTGACCTTTTAGGGCCGATCTTGCTTCGTGAAGCAGCCTGGAAGATAGGAGCCATCCACGTATCGCACGGCCATCCTCAGCAGGCGGTTGTGGAACCTCCCGCTTCAAACTGAGCCGCAAAGCCTGCGACACTCGCCTTGCGACAGGATCAGCAGATCGGTCTGCTTCTTTTCTGATCTGTGATGTGGATGTAGGTGTTCCGGCTTGCGTGGTTTCGATTTGAAATCACAGAAAGTCCGTAAGCCCTTGTAGATGGCACGCCTCAATCCTAAAGCACAAATAACCCAGTCCCTACGAGCGTACAACTGCTACATCAAATGTCCATGCGTCATCCGAAGGCCACTCAGCAAAAATTACCCTACACCTCAAAGCCGCCTCAAGCCCCTGATCTTCCAAATCCTAAACCCTAAACCCGAAAGCCTAAACCCTAAGCCCTAAAATCCCTAACATCCCCATCGACCACTGCGAGACTGGTTTCAGTGGTCTTCTGGGGCCTTATGCAGTTTCGTGGCCTCTTCTTCTCCCTGCTTTTTCCCTAAACTCCAGCTAAACTCCGAACCCGGCCCCCCTGGGCTGCAGAAGCTAAGAGTCATGGCAACCATCCAGAACCTTGACTGCGATCGAATAAATGCTGGAGGACGTGCACATCGCTTTATGGTCAAGGAAGCACTCAAGCTAGCAGCATACTCCTATAGCAGCCAAATGTAGCTGTCCACTGCTTCTGGCAATGAGGCGTCAACGTCAGAGTCTGAGGCTCGCTTTGCCTCCCGCGTAAATGTCGGGTTTTCGCTAGCAATACACGCGCCACAGTACGAGCACGAAATCAGCTGTCCCCCGCCCACCCCCGCCAACCCTCACCGCAGCCTTTGACATACGTGCCACATACTAAACCAATGCGGGGAACACCGCCAGCAGCGCCAAGAAGGACGTTGGAGCCAAAGCGGAAAGGTCTTTCCTTGGGCGCCATGACACAGAAGACTGTGAAGCTCGAAGAGCTCTGAAGCATCAGGTCGTTTCTGAGTCGACACGTGATCGATAGTTAGCGAAAGAAGTGTTGGGCAAGTTGGAGGTAGCTACACTTGCCATGAAGCTGAACTCTCAACAAACCGATCTGGCGGTTTCCGAGATTAGGGGTACCTTATTGGGGGCCCTTATTTTTTAGGGCATCCAACTATTTTTTGGGGGTCTATTTCAGCATGTCCCCTGTTTTCGCAAACTCACACATACTGAAGATTTGGGTTTCGGCGGACTGAGGCATCTAGACTCAGGGCATGATGGCGCAGTGTACACAGCCCTAAACCCTAAACCCTAAACCCTAAACCCTAAACGGGCTATCTGACAGCCCTTCTCTTTGCCTTCGCACACCGCAAGCTGGGGCTGAAGACATACCAAACCCCCGAGCTCCTACTCAGTACAGCAATAACTGGGTTATTAAGTACCATGGCCATTAGGGTTTAGGGTTTAGGGTTTAGGGTACCCCCAAGGAAAGCCCTAAACCTCACGCCCGCGCGACGCGCGAAGCTGAGCCTTGAAATCTCGCACCTCTCCACCCACGGTCCGCCAGGGCTCAGCATACAAAGCGGCAGCAAAGGGAAAACCTGGGCCGGGCTTTGTGGGCTTTCAGGTTCCGGCCTGCTTTGATTTAGGGTTTAGGGTTTAGGGCTTAGGGTTTAGGGTTTAGGGTTTAGGGTTTATGGTTTAGGAATACTTATAGGTTTCGGGAAGATCTTTCTAACGTTCCGGGTGCGGAAGGCAAGGTGCTTCCTTTCAAAACCCTTGAATCTCGCGAGGCACACAACGTCCACGGTCTTTTGGCGGCTTGGCTTCGGGGGCCTGAGCCCTGAACCCCCTCATTAGTTGAACCCGAAAACCGAAGCTGCGGTTTAGGGTCTAGGCTTTAGAGTTCAGAGTTTCGGGTTTAGGGTTTTCAACAGCAACGACCTTTCACAGAAAAAAACGCACACGCAGCATGTGCTGAAAAAGGCGCCGCAAGAATGGCGATGCACCAGGAGCGGTTCAGGAAAGAGATGCCAAATCCTGTCACGCTCCCTAAGCCCCTGTCGAGGCTTTCGCCTCTACGTCTTAAGGGCCCTACGGTTTCGGGCTTCGGTGAGTTTAGGTCAGAGCTCTAATTATAGCCAATGCATCCAAAAGGCCCAGATGCCTTCAAATGCCGACAAAAAAACAGTTGAACAGGCGGCGGGGAAGGGTTTTTGTTTATGTGCCATTATAAAATAGTATATACATATATATATATATATATATACAATAGTATATACATATATATATATATATGTATATACATATAGTGATAGGATAAACTGTAACTTTAGAACAAGAGAGTGCTTCGGAAGGTGGCTGCAAAGGGATTCTCACCCTGAAACCCCCCAGAGTTCATGTTACCCTCATGCCCGAAACCTTCATCACACCCTCTTGCCACTGGACTGAGGTCTAGCCAGTACTGTTGGTACTATAACCCCTTCTTGAATGCTTCAGGGTTTAGGGTCAACAGGGTTTAGGGTTTGGGGCTTGTACCATAAAACCGCCTGGAATCTGGGAGCTCCCTTCTTTCTGACCGGGCCTGGCAAGCACATGGAGATAAGGTCCCCGACCATGCAGATGTAAGCCTCGGTTGGTCCGTTTTCGGATTTAGGGCTTGGGGTTTAGGGTTTAGGGTTTAGGGCTTAGGAGTTTAGGGTTTCGGGTTTAGTGCTGAGGGCTTAGGAGTTTAGGGTTTAGGGTCCTACAGTTGCATGCTAGGTGCCCACATGCCCGCATCTAGGGGCCTGCATTGCAATGGGTATTCTGGGCAGGTTCGATTCTGATCTGGATTGACAGGGGGCACAGTAGACTCCATAAAATTGGAAAAATGTTTGAAGGACGATTAATGCTGGGATTTCCTTTAGTAACCCTCTAGGGGTGTGAGGCTACTGATGTTCGATACTTTTGGGTTTTACTCTATACTCCCCTTAGAACCTTAATAAACAAAAAACGTTTAATATCCTCTTGGTTTTGTATAAACTAATCTTGGTAGTCATGCACACTCCTGTATTGCAAGCTTGTGGGACGAGGTAACGCTGGAAAAAGGCTCGGGCACATATGTAGGGCCCGTAAACCTCTCAAAACCATGAACCCTAAACCCTATCCCCTAGACCCTGTCAAGACCATGAACCCCTCACTGTCTCTGGCAGCCGTGTCGCGAGAG